CTCGGTGAGCCATGTTATGGGTATTTGAGCCCCAGTGGCCCCTAGGAAAAACCCAGACCAAATCTGTTAAGCTTTTGATGACCTTGCACAGGATGCCTACGCCCCTGTAGGTGTTTTCCTAGTCCTAGACCTGGCCTATACCCCATATTTTGCATAATTTGTTGAGACACTGGGGAATAGTCATTACTAAGAGTGAACCCCATGTCTTTCATCAGATCACGGCCCCATAAAGAGATAGGTAAATCAAGTACATAAGGCTGAAAGGTGCCATTGTGTCCTTCCGGGTCCTTCCAAGATAGATGTCTACAGCTGATTTGAGGGGCTTGGGCATATCCAAGTCCTCTCAGGGATTGATCAGAAGTCTGCACTGGCCATCCCTTAGACCAGTCCTTAAGGGCTATGATACTACGGTCTGCTCCTGTATCCAGCAATCCCACAATAGATTTACCTTCTATGCTTAATTCCAAAGTGGGGCGATTGCTCATATCTAGTGACAAATAGGCACAATTCCCTCCGGTGGTACCAATCTCACTTCCCGTCCGTGACCTTGAGTCAGCAGGGAAGTGATTATGTAAGCTAGGCAAAATTAGTAATTGAGCAATCCGATCCCCTGGGGAGATAGACACGATGCCCCTTGGAGCCTCCACCATAACCTTTACTGCCCCTACAGTATCAGGGCTAATGACTCTGGGAAAGACATGAAGACCTTGTAAGATAGAGGATGCACGTCCAATTAGCAAACCTACAGTGCCAGGTGGTAAAGGCCCTTTGAACTCAGTTTCCACCAATTGGACTCCCATCTTAGGTGTTAATACGAGTCTGGAGGTGGAACAGAGGTCCAATCCCGCGGCACCTGTAGTGGCTCTCCGCGTCTCATGGGATGGCATAGAGATGGCCATGTCTCGGGTTCGGGTGTGACATTCTCCACTGCCCTATATATTTGTGGGCCCTGGGGTCGGGGGCCCCTTCGGCAGTTTTTTGGCCCAGCTGAAATAGGCTGTCCATGGATGTCCCTCACTGATCTACACTCTTTTGCCCAATGCTTCCCCTTTTTACATTTTGGACACAGCCCCGGTTGACGAAGGCCATTGGAAGGGCCACCGTGAGGAGGTCCAGTAAAATTGTCTTTTTTGGGACATTCACGTCTGAAATGACCGGGTTGACCACAATGGAAGCATGTTCCGGCACCAGGACTGCCCCCTTTTGCAATCCGAAGGACAGCAGCTGCAAGACCTGCGTTAGTTAAAGGTCCTCCAATCTCTCTACACACTTTCATCCATGCTTCTATGCCCTTATTTTTATAAGGAGTGATTGCCGCTTTACATTCCTTGGTGCATTGCTCAAAGACCAATTGCTTGATAAGGGGCATGGCTCTATCAGGATCCCCAAAAATCTTTCCAGCGGCATCCACCATCCTTGCTACAAAATCTGAAAAGGGTTCTGTAGGGCCTTGTAGAATCTTGGTCAAATTACCAGACACCTCTCCTCTATTTGGAAGCAACTTCCATGCCCGAATGCAAATGTTGTTAATTTGATCATATGCCTCAAGAGGAAATCCTGTCTGTTGATTTGCAAATCTACCCTGCCCCAAAAGCATATCCTTGTCCCAATGGGGGTGTCCTGCCGCATGGTTTTGGGCGGCCTGCTCTATTGCGCCCTCTAGCACAAATGCTCTCCAGTCCAAATATTTACCCGGGGAAACACAAGCCCGAACAAGGATAGCCCAATCAGAGGGAGTCATGCAGTATCTAGACAGACTCTCCACCTGAGTTAGTGTGAAGGCGGCATCCACCCCATAAGTGCGCACAGACTCCACCAGGGTCTTCACAATTTTAAAATCTAAGGGTTCATGGAATCTTCCCCTATTGTCATCCTGAAAAACTGGATAAGCAAGACCCATCTCAGCGTTAACAGCCCTCCATGTTTGGGCATGGAAAGCTCTCCCCGAATCACCCCCACCATACGGCGGTGGATCCGGGGGATCGCTTTTCTTGAGCCCCTGTTTATTTCTGTTCCCTTCTCCTATAGCTAAACTCTCTAGCTGACGAGACAGCCTCCCGAGCTCTTCCTCCTCATCCTCCTCTTCCTCTGACCCACTTTCACATGGGGGTGTGCTCAGCGTACTGAGATCTGGATACAATCGTCTCCTCCCCTGTTTCACGCTCCGCACACTCCCATCCTCCTGAGGCACCTCACTTCCTGCCGTATCCGATTTCTCCTCATGTAATTGCTCTAGAACTTCCTGTCCTTTAGTAAGTGCTTCCTGACATCTGCCATCTGTAAGGCAACTACGGACCATTTTCCAAAGGGGTATCACCCCACCCTCTAATATGCCCTGCTCAGAAGCAAAGTCAAGATCTTTGCCTAATTTATCCCAACTAGGTACAGTAAGGCTGCCTGAAAATGCAAACCACGGTGCAGCGATATCTATCTTCTGTAAAAATCTCTGTAAAGTACTATGTTTCACTTCCAGGCCCTTGGAACATAACAGGCCATCTAGGGCCAGGAGAAGCGGACTTGAAGATGCGGCACCCATGACACAACAACAAAAGAAGCACAAAAAACAAAAGCGAAATGACACAACAAAAGAAACACAGAAAACAAAAGCGACAGTAGAAGCGAAAGTACACAGTGCAGCTGCAATAAAATGTAATGCTCTCTCTTTCTTTACAGAGGAGCTGCCCCGCTTTGGTCGCGGATCCCACTTACCTGGGACTAACCCCGCTTTGATCGCGGATCCCACTTACCTGGGACTAACCGGTGCACCACCCCTGACTGCTGAAAGTTCTGGTTCCCGGGTTTCGGCACCACTTGTCGCGACCCCTTGCCCGCAAGGAAGACGCAACTCATGAATCTTCTTTCAGCAGTTTATTCAGGCCCTTGATATTTCTTCTTCTCTTCCTCGGATGCCCCTCCCAGCCTTAATAAAGCATCTCAAGCCCCAATGCGAAGCTGCCATGTGGAGCTTTCTCATAGGGTGGTGAAAAACCATGCGCCAACTCTCCCAAATAAGGAGTTGTTTGTCACAGACCACAGCGGAGCCAGCGCCATCTTGTAATGGCGACCATAGTCTGCAGAAACGGCAGAAGCGGCTCACCACAGTGGGGGAGCTGTCTGATAATGTCTTTATATTTATTTATTTGTAAAGAACAATTGCTCTGTTTTGTATTTTTTATTGGAAGACTTTTCCTTCAGTTCTATGAGAATCTAATGGCATTCACTTCTTGTCTACATGTTTCTTGTTAGGAAATTCATTGTCAGGTGAATTAGGACACCCATATGTGTTGTTTATTTCATTTCTCTTGATTCCTTTGGACTCTTTACCTTTCGTCTTTGAAATCTGTATTATAATATGTAATGACAAGAGCTCAAGGGTCCAGGTCAGATTTGGGTGCCCAACTAAATTTTTACCCCCAAGGAGAGACTTAACTCTCTCCATTGTGTGCTCCCTGGGGTTTTGAGAAGGAACAAGGAGGGTGGTCCTGTGGTCAACAATGCTGCAAAGATATGTCACACACTGAGGTCTCAGCCTGCCAAGGCAACACAGAACTGAGAGGGACCAACGTCCTCAATGCTATGAGCTGCCTACTGCTGAGGTGGACTCATGACCCAAGACTCCTGCAACCAGCCACAGGCTCTTCTTGAGTCTGTCCCACCAGCACACAGTCTTGCTCTCTCTATGAGGTTAGTCCTACATTTAAGGCCTCTAATTCCTACTGAGTAAAGAGTATCACAATGGTGAGCCTTGAATTTTGCTTTAAGACAAAATCCTGTTTCTGCTCTTGTGTCCTGTTCCTTAACAAGTGGAGTCTTGATTTTCTTTCTGTCAAGACATCTTGGAACAGTTGGGGTGGAGACAGTCTCTTTGCTGCCCAACTAAACCCAGTTCCTGAGTCTCCATCTGAGGTTACTGGCATGGGGACAAGGATTGTTGGGCTCTACTGGGCACCTGCCTAGTTCTGAGTTTCAAGTCTAAGGCTTGGACTTAATTACCTTTCCATTCCCCAAGAAGAATGCGTCTTTCTTCATGCTGGGCTTCTTAGATTTAGGGAAAGCACAACTCTTATTTTCTTCTCTCCTTCAATGTGTCTTTTCTTTATATTATCATAAAAGCAGACACTCACCTGCTTTCTTTTCTTTTCATACACCTCATTTATTTTCTCCTATCAAGTTTTTTAGTTTGTGAAAAATGTTTACATGGGATATTTGTGGGAGATCACTGAATAACCACCTTGATCTGAATCCTAAACTACATAATCTCATACCATAATAAATATGTATTAATATTTTACTATTTCCAACATTGATATAACAGCACAGTGTTAAATTCACCTCACAATATGAGTTTAAACAAAAAATTTTGGAAAACAAAACATAGAGAGAATATACTGAAATAGATATGAAAGGAGAAATTGTTACTCACAGCATTTCACTAATGGTTCTCTGGACCTTCCTACCAATAAACTAAGATTTTGATATTTGAATCTGGAAAGAAGTATTTTAACTTTCCTTTAATCCATAAATTTCCTTGTGATGTGTTTGATCCCTCTACCCACATACCTATTAACCTAGTGCAAAATATCTTTGACTTTACATATGTAAGCACTCAATTCAACTGAGAGAAGTATGGCCACTTTCTTGTCTATCCTTTGAAAAGTATTGCAAACAGAGTGTGTGGACCAATTTATATGTAATCCTCAAAATAATAAATTAGAGAAACAAAATCATGAAGATTGATTTTAAGTTGAAATACTCTACAAAATATATCTTGTCAAGTAAAAAAGTTGAGAAGGGAAAGGACAATATTAGAGATTTACAGGACAGGAATAAATGAAGAGCTTCACCCCTGCTATCCCCGAATCTGTGGATTCAGGGAAGGACCTCTTAGTCCTCTCCTCTTAGTACTCTCTGGACAATTCATTCTTTAGTCCCCCAGGAATCAGACACTACTTCCTGGAACCTTCCATTCTCTTAGGTAGTGGAGAATGCACTAACCATACCTGAGCAGATGACTCCTGCATCTTTAGAGTGCCCACAGTTGTTCTTTCCCCAGCCCAGGGCAGTGCAATTCCACAAGTAGGCTTCCTCTCCTGTGCACGCCAGCTCTGTCAGCCAGATGGGCCCCGATCCCTTTCCAAATTGTGCATATAGCAAGGCATTGAAGGCCACTCCACAGCCTAGTTGTCTGCACACCACATGGGCATCTTTCAGGTCCCAGCTGTCACCACAGACAGTGCCCCAGGAATGCTGGTGAAGGATTTCCACTCTGCCTGCACAGCGACTGCCACCATCCACCAGGCGGAGCTTTGGGCTCTCTGAGGAGAAAGAATCATGTCAATGGCTGTATTTACAAAGAGAATGAGAAGGGTTCTTTTGGGGGAGCAGGGGTGTACTGGGGATTGAACTCAGGGGCACTCAACCACTGAGCCATATCCCCAGCCCTATTTATATTTTATTTAGAGACAGGGTCTCATTAAGTTGCTTAGGGCCTCATTTTGCTGAGGCTGGCTTTGAACTCAAAATCCTTGTGCCTCAGCCTCCTGAACAGCTGGGATTACAGATGTGTGCCACCACATTGGCTGATAAGGGTTCTTTTGTCATGTGGTACTCCCTCCTCCAACCAAGCAGTTGGCAGATCTATTTTCATAATGCAGAGCTTGCTGTGTAAGACATGGAATCATTCATTATACTAGGGTAGTAGGTAAGTCTCAGTTTCTACCATAATGTGGGAGAATTAATTGGGAAAGAATAAGAAGTGGAACTAAACACAAAGTAATAAAGTGAGTAGTCTCAGGTAGAAGTTATTATGTAGATCTGATCAGAGTAAAACTTGCTGTTGGTAGAGTTCTGCATATGATGTGACAAAACTATTTGAGAAATGCAAAGATTCATAATTTGAGTAGCTGAAAGTGTCTTTTCTGAATGATTTCTAAGAATTAGTGTAATGGGCCAGTATCTGCATTGGTTTCTTATAAAGCAAATACATATGAGTATTTATGGACAGAGATTTGGAATGATGAAAGTACAGGAGATGGAGTAGGAAATGGGGATGAGATCATTAGAAGTCTCAGGTGACAGCTATGAATTCAGGGGAAAAATGTAATTATATAGGCATTAAGACTGAAAAATTAATGGATCATAAAACAAACCATAGTTAATGCAATATATTTCACTAATGATTCTAGGCTTCATAGTTTAAATATGGATATTTAATTTCAAATTTGTGTTTGCTTTCGGTAGTTTGGGCAACCTTCCTGTATAGATGATGACAGATGTTGACATTGCCCAAATGCCCCTATGAATCATAGAATGCTACTTTCCCCCAAATATATTTAATCTGTGCTTGGACTTCCTACCAGGAGTTCTTGATGAGGAGGCAAATAGCAGAATAGAAGTACACTTTTTGTGGCTCTGTGAGTGACAAGAGTCAGGGAACACAGGGGAAGCTCTATTCTGAGAAGAGAAAGAGGAAAAACACCAGGAACTAATAAAGAAATGACAAGAAGTGTCAATGAGATGGAGAAGCATTAAGGCAGACCAGATAAAACTACAAAGCAATTAACAACTTCAACTCCAGCTGTCTTACATGTGGAAGAAACACATGGTTCTTACAAGCTTTAGATCAAGTTTGGGGAGTTGTTTTGAGAGGGACTCCTTCAGTACAACAAGAGAGCTTTATAGGAAGAATTCATCTCATTGCTCAGCAAGTTCTCAGAGTGATATTACTGAGAGCCATCATGAGAAGGGTCCTATTGTATGGGCTAAACTGTGTTAGAATTACAAAATATGAATTAATCATAATTTGAGGTCCTTGGGTCACCCTTCCACAGTGACAGGGTGGGTAGTGAGCACCTATAGTCTCAAGAAGACTGATTTCCACAAACATGCTGAGATAGTAGCAGAGAAGGGACTAGAGGCCTCATTGATATGTAGGCCTTTTCTATGTGAAAAGGAGTGTTCCAGGTCTGAGAGCTGAGACAACATCTGGTGATTAACCCCATTCCTGTGCCCCATCTCAGGGTGGAGCTCAAGGGTTTGATGTTTACACCACTTTTCACAGGCATTCCAGGGATTCACTATGACTAGGACACTTGGTATGCCCCCATGGGAATGAGGTCTCTGGAGCAGAGTTTTTCTACAAGTTGTTTCCAGAAACACTGAAGGCAGGGCTTGTGGTGACTTTGACTGTTGCTATGCCTCAACTATTTGAAACAGAACCTCTCCAGCAGGATGATGGCCTGTCCCATCAATATTCCTTAACCTCCATGGTAGGAACTGAGGATCACAGTGCAGGCAACATATCACACCTATCTCCTTTTGATGGGAATTCAAAGGAACTAGAATTGGTTTATTTTTTAGCCTAGTTTATCCTATATATCTGATGGATTCAAATGTTAAATGAACAAAAAAGAGATTTCTGCATGCAAGTATCTTGTGTAGGAGGAATTTTTGACACACTTTTTTTTTCTTTTTAATGTACACATTATTATATATTCCTTAATACTATGTATTTAGTGCATTTTAAAATTCTTTAAAATGATTTTTTCTTTCTTCTTTTTCATCTTTTTTATATAAAATAGTTTTCTTCTTATTGTTTATTCCCTTTCTTCTTTTTGCACTTTCTTCTGCAATCTTCCTTTTTGAATTAATTTTCCTTTTATTAATTTACTTTCTTGTTCATTCTACATTTATTCTTTCCCTTATCTATTGTTACTGCTTTCATAGTTGTTATTGAGTTTATTTGATTATTACTGTATTTATATAGCTGATTTATGTTTATGTGGTTGGTACTCCTTTATTCACTTTCTTCCTTCTGAGTCTTGTTGGTGATTAAGCCAAGAATCTCAAACATGTTGGGTGTGCTTTGCCACTGAGCTACACCTCCAGTCACTAGAGTGAGGTAGTACCTTATTGTAACCAAGACCTAGCCCTGCTCAAGACTTGGTGGATATTATGGTTTGGATGTGAGGTGTTCCCCAAAAGCTCTGGATAAGACAATGCAAGAAGTTTTAGAGGAGAAATGATTGGGTTATGAGACTCTTAACCCAATTAGTGAATTAATCTCCCAATGGGAGTAACTGAGTGGTAATAATATTCTTGTCTTTCACTGACAGAGGAGACAGGGAGTTGAGTGTACTTGGAGGGGAAGGATTATAATGGGGCATCATGTTGTCTAATCAGAGTAAGAAGAACATGTGCCATCATGGAGTGGAAAACTGAAAAACTGTTAAGGGAAAACATTTGGGATATGTATGAGGATGAAATATATGGAAAAGGATCATGAAGAATATGTGCATAAGGAGAAGAGGCAATAGAGAAGAAAAAATGCAATCAAGATCTCAAGATGTACAGTTAGTGGTGGTCAATAGTGTGGTCATACAGGGAGATGGAGTATGGAGGAGTAAGGGAGAAATTCAGGAATGGAGAGGCCAGGATGTTTTTTCAGTTGTGTTCAATGATGCTGGCAGCACCAGGAACAGGAGAAAGAGGAATCTGGTGAGCCTGGTATAGCAGCCTTCTTGGATGATGGGAGTGTGCAGACTGGATAGTGACACCAACAGGACTGGTAGCTGGTGCCGTCTCATGGGGCAAATTTCAAGTAGCTGAACATAAAGAAAAAGAAAAGAATTGTTTAAATTTTCTGGTGCAGCTTTTTGGGTCTTTTAGCAGCACAATTCACAATAGCTAAACTGTGGAGCCAAACTAGATGCCCTTCAGTGGATGAATGGATAAAAAAAATGTGATATATATATATATATATATATATATAT